ACCATAAATGAAGGACCTTATTTCTTTAAAAAATGCCTGTCTTATCACTGTTTTCTACTTTAATTCAGCCGATGATGAGATAATACCTACTTTGCGCCGATGTGACGCTTTCTTGATGCAGTCTGCTCTGATCAACTCATTATCTATGTTTGACAAAGTTCGCGGTAACAATAATGGCCAACCAAAGGAACGAAACACTGTGGAATCGATCGACTCTATACATTTATTGCATTCGGAAAGTAGCTGCCCTCCTTTAGTTCCGAATGCCCCGGAAGAAAATCTCTCTAAAAGCAATCAACAACCAGATACAAATGAAGTCCCCTATGGTATTAAACAATTCGTTTACGATTGGGCTAGTGTCTATATCAAATTGGCAGGAATTCGTCGAGATCTTGGTGGTAAGTGCTTCGAGGATGGCCTCAGTTGCTCATGCAGCCTACCTTACCTTTTCTCACAAAGTTACTATTTATATATGAGATATATTCACCCTATTTCGTTTAAGGTGATAAAGGACTGGTAGTCGAATTTTCCCACTATTTATTTATTTGTAGAAAATTTTCTATTAGGTCGGGAGTAAATTCTTTTGCAATTTTGTGTAATTTAAGTTTATCGAACGAAATTTTCCTCCATTGATTGCTCAAATAATTTCGTCTCTTTTTCATTGCTGCTATGTACATTGTACTGATAGTTTTTTCAGGGTTATAGATCTCCCTCAAATATATTTTCAAACCAAAATCAATCACAATTGCTTGCAATTCTTAAATAATGGGCGAAATCAGAACTCCATCCGATGATTTCCCAAAACCGATTTTGAGTCATTATGATTAAGTGGACCCTGAACACTTATTTTTATTTATCTTTTCATATAGGACATCGTCTTATCGCCTATCCCGATCTTATTGGGGCTAGTAGTCTACCCTCTCGAGAAGAGTTCAGCTGGACTCCTCCCCACGAGTCAATCGACTCCAAATCAACTGATTTCATTTCCCTTTTCGGTTGTGAAGATGCGACAAAGACGAGCATGCCATTGTCTGGACGCTTTATGAACTCTAACTCTTCTGATAAACCTTCTTATCTCAACTGCTCTGTTTGTGGTTTGAATCTTACTGAAAGGGAGCCCAGCAAAACCGCGGCAGATTTGACTTGTCGTTTAGCTTCAGATCATGAGCTAATAGATGCTACTAGTGATCAAGACGGTTTTGAGTTAAGAAAAATTGTCGCTACTACTGCTAAGAATAAACCTGTATTTACCAATTCACCAACATCAGCCCAGGGTCGCTTTCAGATGGAACATCGGCCTTGTTGCATATCTGAAAACTTCCATAATCTCAATATATCTGACCACGTTGGTAATATTTCTAATGGTATTCAGCAAATCTGCAAAACGGAGCCAACAGCCTCCAACTCTAACTTCACCTCCAGCTCACTATCCACTGGTACTATTCTGCCAATTGTCAATCCAGGCAAAAATAACGGCGGCTCTTTGTCATTGAATTCAAAGGCGCTATCTAGCTCAGGAACTTTGTCTACCCATAAATGTATCACAGGTACATTAATATCAGAATTAGCATGTTAGGATGATGTTTTGTCTATGAAACATTTGGTGCTAGAAGATATTTTACTGATATTATTTTTCACTTGTTTATCACTCGTATCTTATTTAGATCTTGTAATTGATGGTTAAAAACTTTGAGATGGCAGATTTTGAGGGATTTACATAGATCTTCCTTCATCTTGTATGAGAGCTTGTGATAAAATTTGTAGACATTTTTTGCTCAAACTCGTTTCGAGCCCATATTTTCTTTTTTGGAATCCTTCTCCAACAAAATTTTAGAGGCTTAATTAGGCATTACTTTTGTTTTCAATGTGATGGAAGCATTTAAAGAATAGTGACACTTTACGTTTGGCTCCTCTTGGGTTGTTTAGCCTGATTCATCGCTAGTTACTTCGCTGCTTGCCATCTTTCCTTCCATTTTGACATGAATTTCCATTTCGAAGGAAAAGTTGGTCGGAAGGAATTCCTGAAATGGTCTTACCGGAAACAAAAGGAGGAATGCCGTGGGGTGAAGACCATTGGATTGTACGAAGATGTCCTCGACTTACCAGCCTGCGAACCCGATGAACCTGTGCTAAGCTTTTGTTTGTACTGTCATGATAGGCATCTTCAGAGCAAGAATCCTTGCTTTGCATAATAGCGTAATAATATACTAGACTAAGCTAAGAGGTTGCGTGCTACAAGCATATTCACGATCTTAATGAGGCATCCCATCATTTGGTTGGCTAACTCAAACTTGCTCTCTTTCTCTTGTTCACGGGCTCTTCCTTCTCTCTCCCCCTCTCCTTAAGCCTATCTCAGAGCCATAAATAGATCACACTCAATTTCCTGCATTTGTTCCTCCTATTCACGAAATTGTCTGTTTAAAAAAAATTTCTATAGACTTTTCTATCTTGTGTTTTGATGTAAAGTTCCTGTAACCAGCAAAATGTTGTGTTTGCTCCAGTCTGTTGAGTATCCTGTAGATGTAAGGTGGGCTAAAACTTTTAGACCCATTGACTGTTTTTTCTTAGCATAATCTCTTCTGGATGTGTCGGCAGGTCTTTCCACATAGATATTACCTCATGAGCCTGATCTAAAAAGTGGGTCCGAAAATTCTCGAAAAAAAGGCCCGACTATATATATATTTATTTATTTTATCGTTTCTATCAATCTCAAGACTGGTGCCAATGTATTATATATACGAAGTAGAAGCCTGTTTTGATCATTCTTCTGAGGTAACGTTGTTATGGAGACTCAATTTGTATGAATGTGCATGATGACGAAATTCGTAGGTCGGTCTCATCAGAAAACGACGGCTGATTCCCCTTGTACCGCAGCCGTTTGACGTTCAGTTTAGCGTAATCCACAATACATTCTCCCTCGTTTCATGCAAAAGCTGACTGAGCTTTCCTTCTTTATACGATGAAATAACCATAGCCTTGTTATCACCTAATCTGAAAATAAAAGGCTCATACAATTTCCAAAAAAATTTGACTTATTTTATCCTGTGTGATGGGTATGATGGGAAGATATTGGATAACAGCGTCCTTTCTCATTTTTATACCATTTAAGCTGAAAATTCAGGGCAATACATATTATCCTTTTTTAATTATTTATTGCAACTCGATATACTTGGTCTACCGGCGATATATTCAAATACTCTTGCTTAACTTGTCATTGATGAGTTGAAAGGAAGACCTTGAATCCTGGTGGTGCACCGTATGATCTCGACACGCTAACTACCACGCTGTACTGCCACGAATGCCCTTGCGTCATAGGGCAGATATGAATTTAAAGGAAGACCAAGCCTTTTTTAATATCACATTATCTGGCGGAATTTTCTATGAAGCAAAGTTGAATTTGCTATAATAATCGACTACATTACTTATTTTTCATTTATAAGTATGTCTTTGAGACTACCGTTATATCATATATATATATATGTAGTCTCGAAAGCC